CTACTGCGAGTTATCTGCACGATGTCCATGTAAAGTTAACATTCGAACAGAAGGGATGAGATAACATAATTAGATAAAGAAAAGCATGATAACTAAGCAAGCATTAGATCTTTCATGCACAAACACCCATTTTACAACATACAACCATACAACAGCAGTTACAACCAACATGTCAACAAATCCAACATAACAACAAATACAACTAAAATGCAATGTATTAAGACTCACAACTTGGCTCAATGCATGTGGTACCATCAGTTCCTATTCAGAACCCGACCCCTATTTCAGAATCACAATTCCCGTAGGAATTTCCTTAATGTCGCTTACACCCCACATGGGCACACGACTTTCGTAATCGCTCAAACCTCACATGGGCACATAATCACCTTAACAACAACAAAAATGATACAATTCCGCAATTAGAACCCAGATAAGACGCTCACACCCCACACTGGCACACAACTTATCTCACAACTCATGCAACTATGAAATGCATGACAACAACAACAAAAACGACTATCTATAAGATGCAGTAAGCCACTATAGGCTAGAAACAACGATATGCAATACAGTCCAGTAACAACGACATACAACATAACAATCATCCACAAGACATTTAGAATCATATCACACCACAACATAATAATAATAATAATAATAATAATGTGTTTAATACAACCAAAAAATAATTATTCAACTTCTACCACTGAAACTATTTTATACTAAAGTTTGACACGCCAGCTTCCCGACGCTTCAAACGACACTCGAATCGGACTCCCGAAACGAAAGTTATGAATTTTTAAAGTTTTTCAAAAATTAGTCCCAGTGTAATCAGTTACCCCAAATGAGGTAACCGGTTACACCCTTGGTAACCAACCAACAACGCAAAATAAGCACAATGTAACCGGTTACCTAAATCAGGGTAACTGATTACACCCTCACAGTTTGCCTAAAAACGTTGTTTTTCAACAGTATAATCGGTTATCCTACATCTGGTATACGATTACACATGCAGCAAAATCATTTTTCTGCTGCTTATCAGTACGAAATTGATTTTTAACCCACCCTAACATCCCGTTTTTCATACAAAACATGTAACGCATTGTTCTACTCAAAAATCAGTTTTCATCAACACAAAAACCCCAATTTCTTTCCCCTAAAACACTCAAAACAATTGTTCATACTCTGACTTGCAATTTCATACAACAGCACAACAACGACATCAATAAACCATCAATTAAACGAACCCACAATAGCAACAATTGCACTAATTTCATCAACAATAATAGTCTCAACATCAACATACAACGATCAACAGAAAACAATCAATTCAACAAATACCATTCAATCAAAATTATGAATAACAAGAAGAGAAATACAAAACCTACACGATAAAATCTATCCACCATGATCATCATATTATCCCTTAGATAGTTAGAACCCTGCCCTTACCTTAGAGTTCTTGCAACGATTTCCTCTTCCTCAACAACGAAGTCTCTTCTTCCCTTGCCCTAACTCTCACTTCACGTTATTTCTTGTGTTTCTCCCAAAAACATGTACCGACCAAATTCCTCTTAACTTCCCATTTTCTATTATTATCATTATATTATTATTAATATTATTATTAATTCTACAAATTAAATGATAATAACAATATCCACTAATTATTTAAATTAATAATATTTATTTAATAATACTAATATTATTTAATTAGCCACTCTCGCCAAACCATCAAGTTCTAAAGCAATTGGTCATACACCTCTTACGTTTAAAGTCTATAATTTTAAGGTCGCTACCACACACACACACACACACACACACACACACACATATATATATATATATTCACAACAACACATAATTAAAATACGAAAAACAAATAAAATAAGTCAGTGTGTTACAAGAGTCATCAAGCCACCTCCGAGACTTGGTTATGCATATCTCATAACTTTTGAAGGAAGCTGTAAGATCCTTGATGAAGAACCCATAGACTACAAGGAATTAGTGAGGAGTCAAAATAAGACTGTATGGATGAAAGTCATGGATGATGAGTAGAAACCTCTTCATGATAATAACACTTGGGAGCTTATCGAAAAAACCTACAGGGGTCAGGTTAGTCACCTGTAAGTGATTTTTCAAGGTTAAGGTTGGAATCGAATGAGTGATGTCAAAGCGATTTAAGGCAAGGTTGGTTGCTAAGGGGTTCACTCAGAAAGAATGATTCGATTTTAATGATTTTTTCTCACCTATTGTAAAGCATAAATCCATTAAAATATTGTTAGGCATGGTGGCAAAGTTTGGCCCAAAACTTGAACAGATGGATGTGAAGATCGCCTTCTTGTATGGTGACCTATATGAAACAATCCTGATGAGACAACCTGAAGGGTATGCAAAAAAAAAAAAAAAAGGAAGATTATGTGTACAGGATGCATAGATCGTTATACGACCTGAAACAATCTCCTCATCAATGGAATAAGAGATTCGACAAATTCATGGCACACATTGGTCTCACTGGGAACCAGTTCGACCACAATGTTACTTCATATTTCGACATGGAAATTCACTTGTTATTTTGTTGCTTTTGTGGATGATATCCTCATAGTAAGCAATCGTGTCGAGGATGTAGTGAAGGTGAAGGTTGAACTCGATAAGGAGTTTGACATGAAGGACTTGGAAGTTGCCTATAAAATTCTTTGGGATTGACATCTAGAGAGATAAAAAACTATCTAGATTATGCTTATCTCAAGAGACATACATGAAGAAGATTTTGCCAAATTTGGTATGTCGAATTCAAAGCCTATTGTAACACCGACTAATCCTTAGTTCAAATTGAGTACGACTCAAAGTCATATGCTAGTATAATATATTCTTTGATGTATGATATTGTATGTACGAGGCCAGACATGACGCATAGAGTGAGTCTTGTAAGCAGGTATATGGTTAATCCTGCAAATGTGCACTGGACAGCATTAAAGTGGATACTAATGTACATAAACCGATCTATAAGCAGAGTCCCGGTTTATGGTGGAACATGTAGTGATGATAGTAAAGTAGAAATCGAAGGATTTGTCGAATCTGATTATGCAGGTTGTATGGATTTCATAAAATCTATTTTTGGATATGTATTCACTATGCTTGGCACAATAATCAGTTGGAAAGCAACACTTTAGAAGGTTATTGCCTTATCAACCACTGAAGCGGAATATATTTCCCTCACTGAAGTTGTGAAAAAACCATTATGGCTTGAAGGTTTTGCTAAGAAGATGAAACTTCAAGGTCAAGCCATAACTGTTAAATGTGACAGCCAAAGTGCAATGCACTTGTCGAAAAATTTAGCTTATCGTGAGCAAATCAAACACATCGATGTGAGAATGCAGTTCGTCAGAGAGATAATCGAGCGTGGAGAAGTCCAAGTAATGAAGGTTTCGACTGATGAGAATGTTACGGTATGATCACCAAGACATTGCCAAGTTACAAATTTTTCAACTGTACACAGCTGATATGACTGCGTGATGACATCTAATTGGCTTCGTGGTTCGAAGTTTGTTCCAAGGTGGAGATTTGTAGCTTATAAGTTATAAGTTAATGGTGTAGCAAACTCTATTGAAGCAAACAGTATCTAAGTCGAAGAGCTAGTGTAGTTGTCGAAAATATGTTAGTTTGTTGACATGTGGAGTTGGACCAATATGTTAGCCCAATTGTTTAGTATGTTAGTTGAAAGTTAAAGTTTTAATTTTCTTAAAAATAACATACTAGTTCACACTTCTCACACTTCTCAATAATCCTGATAGGAGAAGAAAGTGATATGGTTGAAATAACTTGTTCCCTAATGTTTAATTGAATAAGAATTTAGAATTTTATATCACTTTAAATTATTTTTCTCTTTTCTTTTCCTGTTTTTCTCAGCTTGTGGTTTTCTTTTTGATAAAGAAACCGAACATCCTCTCTTTTATTTTTATGAACATCGCTTTCACAACAAAATTCAATCCTAGGCACACGTGGCAATGTTAAATCTCTTTAAGGTTGCATACATTTTTAACAAAAAAAGATAATAATGATTTATTCATTTATTTTGTCAAAGACCCACCAGTCAGCCTGTTTTCCCATATAAACTAACGTGGATCTGATTCAGATCACAACTCATTAACAATTGGAGATAAATCAGTCGTGCAGGTTTAATGTATGGACTTATGTGGAGTGGGTTAAAAGTAGTGGGATAGCCGCCAGGGCAACATAACCACCTCTAATTATATGCAACATTAGCGATGGACAACTGATCATTCAAATAACTGTTTTTGGATCCTAAACAAAAGAGTAACTACTAGGCTTATTAGTTTATCTATTACAATTAACTGTCTACAACAACTTCGCTGAAAGCACAACTTGGACCGTATTCTTGACAAGGAAAACGAGACTGAATTGCCATTGACCTTTCCCCATGAAATTTTTCTGCACAATTGAATAGCAATAAATCATGCATAAAAAATGTGTAAAACAGCTTAATGAACCACCAATACAAGGAGAGATGCATTACTAACTCATTTAGATATCAACATTAATAAGAACTAAACAAGAACACCAATACTTGCAGAACAGCAGAGAGAATATCAGCCAAGTAAAACATAAATTTTTGTCCTATAAACAATGATGCTTGTTTGACTACAAGGCATGACCGATTCAGGTCGAGTAATATAAACAGATAAGTAAGACTTCAGGGTAATATCTTTTATATACTAAGTTGTTAACTCAGCATGATTATTCTACAGGAAAGTTTAGTTTCTGGATGATTAGTCTCTAAACAGATGAACCCTTTAAGAACATTCTTATACTTGAAGTGGAGTTACTCTGAAATCTTAAATCTACCAAAACTTGTAAAAGGTGAATGCTTCAAATTACAAGGCCATCACAAAGCAAGGAGAACTTACATAGATGTCGGAAAATTATTATGATGTGTTACATGATATGATAGAATAGTAATAACTTGAGCTAGAATACTTTTATTAGTTCAGACGTCTGCGCCTTGGAGCACGAGAATCTCCACTGTCCACATCAGACAATCTTGAAGCATCAGCTCTCCTCCTAGAAGAGGTTACCATGGAATCAATTTCTACGGCAGTGTCCACTTGACTTTCTGAATTTATGACAGCGGCAATGCTTGAAAAGGAATCTCTGTCATCAACTGAAGTAGGTGGTTGTTCTTGGTTTCTTCCTAATGGGTTGCTACGGAAATATGCCTCAACCAACCTTTCAGCAGAAGTCAATGCTGATGAAAGACTAGAAAGTGTAGCTCTATGTGATTGTGATCTCCGAAGCAAAAGAGATTGCACCCTGCGGTTATCCCCTCCCAAGTCAGCACCATTAACATTGTTCTGATTCAAACCTGCAACATCTTCCGGTGGTGCCACGGGATTCTGCTCTCTCCTCATGCCTCGAGATGTCAAAAACCTACTTAGCAAGGAAGTAGTTCTCTCTACTGTTCCACGGGCATTTTCTGTTTCATTTGGCTGAACTAGATCCCGAGTGAGATCAATTCTGTTTCCAAGACGCCGAATCATCTCCTCTACAGGGAGCGCAGATGCATTTCTCATAATGGTTTGTCTCAGACTTTCAACACGCTTTGCTTGTGGCCTAGGAGGAATTTTAAGAGTGGAATCCTCCTCAAGGACACGAGCATTGTTCCCACGGCCATATATGGGGGTAACACTCTTAATTGTCACCTCCCCTTTGCAAACCGGACACTCCTTAGCATCTGAATGCAGATGCAGCCATCGATATAGGCACTGCCAACAAAACAGATGACCGCAGCAAGTCAAAACAGGCTCCTTGGACAGGTCCAAACAGATATTACAATCAAAAAAGTCCCCATCGCTGCCACCAGTCTTTTCAACATCATCCTTCTTCTGCAACATCTCATCCTCCATAACACCATTGTTATTCTCACACGCTTTCAACGGCTCCTCCTCTTCCTCCATTCTCTCCACAGCCGCCACACTTCCTTCCCCAGCCTGTAACCCCGTTCCATTACCCGAGTTCACCAAAAAATTGTTCAATTCAATAGAGATATTGCGAGCTTCAGGTGGGATATAAATATGATGTGCAGGTTCCGGTAGAACTTGATGAACTTGAGCATAAGGCTGAGGTAAAATGCGATGAACTTGCTGAGGATAAGGAGGAGAAATCGGAAGTTGCCTCCATCTCCATCTCTGTCTCCCCCTAAGCCTTGCAGCAGCTTCGCTAATTCGCTGAAGAGGCTCCTCAATCCAATCATCCAAGTTCAAAGCCTCATTGGTTATAGAGCCAGTTGGTGGTTCTGGGTCTGGACCCAGATTCAAATCAAGGTTCATTGCATCAGAACTTTCCTCCCCCATCCCAGATCTTCAAGCTTGCTTTAATTACGAATATCAAGCAGCTAATATTACAAAACAATAAAACCTAAAAATCAAAACTTTAATACAAATCGAATAAACTCAAGTTTGAAGTGTGGTGATTTTGATTTATCAAACAAAACTATGCTAGCTGAGAGAATCGAACATTCGAAAAAGAAAAAGAAAATTGACAAAAATTGGGGAAAATAAAAACCCTAATTTAGTAGAAGATACGAAGAACCCTAGATCCAGTGAAGAAGGTTGACCATATAATCGGCGTTGAATTACTAGAATTGAACTTAAGCTGAATAAAATTCGTGAACAGTTCTACGTTAATGCTCGCAGATTAAGGGTTTCACGATGAAGAAAAAGAAAAGATGAAAAAGGAAAGAGAAAAAGAAAGACCTTGGAGCAGGAAAAGGGTTAGGGTTTAGGTCGGAGAGGATTCGACCATTATCGTTGACGTTGTTCGATCTTGTGAGATTGTGAGGGAGGGAGGGAAGAGGAAAGGGTTTAGAGACAAAAAGCGAAAAATTGGGAGGAAGAAGAAGAAAGAAAGAAAGAAGAGATGAAGGAGGAGGAGAAAGATTGAGGAAGCACACGGTGTATGGGTGTTGGGTGGGCCTGATAGAGATGGACGGCTGTGATGAAGGTGTTGGGTTAGTGTTGCCAAACTGAGCTGTGTTGGTACTGCAGTTTATGGGATGACAAGGGAGGAACAACAGTACAATATTAAAAATCTGACGGATGATCGATCAGGTGAAATTTGCTGTTTAAAGTTTAATTGGTTCAATCGATTAAATTTATGGTCAAACCGTTTATTAAATAAACTTATAATATGAAATTAAATTTTATAGATATGTCACGCATAATCATATGTTTATAATTTAATAAAATAAATATCTCAAAAATTCATTATAAATTTCATACAAATACATATAATAACATAATATAGTTCGACATTTTATTTCAACATTTATTTAAGAATAATTTGATCAAATTAATGATTTATAATAAAATAAGTTAAACCAATTTAAATCAAAATTGAAATAATAGAATATAATAACTAAAATAAAGTTCAAATAATTAAGAATACCTAAATTAAATAAAATAGAATACCAAAAATAAATAATACAATATATTTTATTAAATAAAAAAAATGAATTTGAATTGAACTATGACAAATAAGTCTTAATTGACAACAACAAACAATATTGACTTCAACGACAATCAATATTGAGTTGGATATCGCGACTATATTTGAAAGAGGCGACGTGATAATAGTGGAATGTGATTGAACGAAAACTATAACGGAGTGACAAAACTTAGAAGTTTGGATGGTTGTAAAAAAAAACATGAAATTCTTTTTTGTGGTTGAAGAGTGTGTGTTAAGTTTTAATATTGACATATTTAATTTTTTGTTAAATAGTCAATTTGACGCATTTTATTGAATCAGACGGTTTTACAAAACCGGCTCTGGTTCTTTGTTTCGAATGGTTTTGGACGGTTCAACCCGGTTTTTCCATTTTTACTCTGATTTTAACCCACTATCAATTTTGAAAGGTTGACCCAAACGGATTCATCTCCGGTTCTCGGTCCAACCGGTTGAACCGACTGGTTCGGTCCGATTTTAAAAACATTGGTTCTTACACACTTGCAATAATCAAGAAAATATGATTATTTTTTTTAATTATTGGTATTTTTTAATTGAATATGATATTTTGAAAATAATTTATTGAAATAAATATTTATTGCATTGAAAATTAAGATTAATATTTATTTTTTTTAATTTTTTTTATTTTTAAATAAAAGAAATATTAAAATTTTTTTGTTGCAATGTTTTAAAAATCGGATCGAACCGGCCGGTTCAACCTGTTGGACCTGGAATTATAGATGAATTTGGTTGAGTTAACATTTCAAAGCCATTAGTGGGTTAAAACCGGAGTAAAACCGAAAAAACTGTATTGAACCGTCCAAAACCATTCAAACTAAAGAACCGAAGTCGGTTTTGTAAAACCGCCCAGTTCTAAAAAATGCATCAAATTGGTTATTTTTATAATTTTTTTAAAAGTTTAATCTGTCAATATCCAAAACTTAACATACATTCCCTAATTACGAAAAAGAATTCTGTATTTATTTTATAATCATACGAACTTTTAAACTTTTTCATGTTATTGTCATTCAAACATAGTAATGATGTTCAACTCAATATTGATTGTCATTCAAATTAATATTGTTTGTTTTCGTCAATTATGACTTATTTATAATAGTTCAATTCAAATTAGTTTTTTCTTTAATTAAGTATATTGTATTTTTTTTTTGTATTTTATCTTCTTTTTTTGAAAAAGGCAAATTGAATCAACAAATGTACAAGATGTGCTAACTGAAACAAAATACAAAGTATAGAAAACTACTAACAACACACAACACCAAGACAACCCGCAAAAGGCAGCTACACAAACAGATATCGCTAGTAAAAACAAACACCTAACAACCCCCCCCCCCCCCCCCCCACAAACTCTCTAAACAAGGGATAATCCTCATAGAATGAAATTAAAACACCTGACAGGAAAACCAGCAAAAACATGCTAACTACCAGCAACAAAAGATCAAATGGAGATCTAAAAACACCATAGCACCTGATGCAACCACGCCCAAAAATTGCTGCCAAAATCTCGAATGAAGAAGGAAATCAGACTTGGAATAAACTGAATCAAGAAAAAGCATAACCACCACTAATAACCACAACTAAAATCCACAAACTAACGTCAATTTCTCTAGCCAAGGATCCCCTGAAATGAGAAGCCTGACACCCGCAACAAAGATCGAGCAAAGCCAAAAAAATATATATACTCCAAACGACAACAGATTCCCAAAGAAACCACAAAACTTCACACCTAATTAAATCCTCCAACTTGGTCATATCTAACTACCAAAGCTTACCAAATGCACATTAGAGCGGAAACATTGAAATGCTAGGATTGGGTTGATTTCTAATAGCTTGATATTACAGAATTAAGATCTAACACAATTAATAATCTGTCGATTCACAAAACCACCAATGATGCCAATAGTCAAACATAAACTTAACCAAGTTGAGATTACAAAGATAATTAAATTTGCAAGAGAGTCGCATAATCGCACAACTCAGACATATAAGTAACAACCAAAGAATTGAAACAAATAACTAAATTATGCCATAAACATCCTATGAATTAAACCAAACTGAAGGGTATGATCGATCCCCTCCAGCACTACGACACTGCCAGACCGATTCAGAATAGACCTATCCCAGCAATACAAATTTCCTCCCGATGCCAGTCGCGAGACCGAGCACACCCACCCAAATAAAAACAACCAGACACCAAACTTAATCATCTATAACACCTATAACTAACCTTGGGTTTAAACACCACCATGTTATGTTGAAATCTGCTTCCTTTGACTTTACTTTCAGCCACTTCCAAGCATCCATTTTAACCTTCTCTACCAAATTTTCTAGGTCTATGGTCTTGTTTTGAAAAGTTTCTCGTTTCATAATTTCCAAATATTCCAAACACACACAAACCAAATTACTTGAATCTTTTTGCTAATTTTACTGTCTCCATCAAGTAACCCTTCAAATTGCAGTAGATTTTGAAATTTTTTGGCACGTGCTACACATGATGGAGATTCTGATGTCCCAACATTAGAGTACAATGTCAAGACAGATGTTGTGACATCTTAAGTCTGACAGAAATAATATTATCAATCTTTAATTATGCAGAAACTGTAAATTGTAGAATGATAAATGACACAGCTAATTGGTAACCCAGTTCGGTGCAACATCACCTACATCTTGGGGCATCCAAGTCAGGAAGGAAATCCACTATGATAACATTAGTTCAAAGCTAAACTCCTCCGTATATAACTTCTCGCCCAATCATTACCGTGTGCTACTTCTACCTAGAAATTGCCATCTAGATATGAGATCCCCCTCTCAATTCCTAACAAGCAGTCATAATCCCAATGGCCATGCCACAAGAAACCAAAAAGAAAGATGTGCCCTCTTTTTACTATAATACTCGGTCAAGACTCTTAACCAAGAACAATACTTGGTTTTGCTTCACAACTTCAACCAAGAACAATACTCAACTCCATTTCTTAAAAGCTTCAGAGTGAGAACAACATACAATAAACAATATGTCTACCACAGTGCATCAAACAATATAGAGGGTGACTTGCTACGTCACACACAAGAGACTCTCAAAACTTAAGTTTCTAAAACTTTCCCTTGTTTTTACAAAAGTGAAAGTTGTCGATTCATTAAGTTTAGGTCTTCTTTAAATAGCCTTCAGACCTACTGGACTTGGACTTCTTAAGGCACACAAATAGCAGCAATTAGTATAAACTGGCTGCAAATCAACCTGCATAATAATAGAAGAAAAATACAAACTTTCATAAAAAGGCTCAAAAATCCTTTTTATGAAAAGTAACAAAATCTACAATAACATAAATTCTCACAATATACTCCTATAACAATCGCCCACGTGTGCATCAGAACACACTCAAAATTCACACTAAAATTACCAAATGGCCATGCCTTAGCTACCTGGTATAACATGTCTTGGAATATGCTACAACATCGTGTAGAACATGAAGTCTGACTGACATGGCAAAATAACAGGTTCAACACCTTACTAAGAGCATGTTGTTTTACCAAAATACAGCCAATCCAAAAATCACAAAACTTACAATTTACCGCTTTGGCAAAATTTGGCTAAAATAATCTTAGCACATACCATAGGTACACATCGGAAACAAAAAAAACATAGAAACCCAAGAATCACAATTCTGTCAAACAATAAAGAACACCAGATAGCACAATATCAAGACATTATGTCTGACATCACAAAGCAACACAAGCTACATGAAACATGTAAGCTCTATACAAACTGCAACCATGTAGCAACAAAACAGACATGTAAAACACTCCCCCTATAACATATAATTAATTCTCCCCC